TACAGCTAAAAGCATTCCTAAGAAACACATATTTAACAGTCTCCTTCCACAGACTCGACTCTCCAGCCTGACCATTCAACATAACTGGATCTAGTCTATCTCTTTTTCCGAGACAGGGTCTCGCTCTGTTGCCCAGGCTGGAGTACAGTTGCATGATCTTAGCTCAGAGCAACCTCTGCCTCTGGGGCTCAAGCGATCCTTCTGCCTCAGTCTCTCAAGTAGCTAGGACTACAGGTGAATGCTACCACTCCTGGCTATTTTTTGTAGAGACAGTGTTTTGCCACATTGCCTAGGTTGGCCAGTCTACCTTTCTTTCCAGCATGTGTCAGTAGTTTCCTGTCCACACCTAACAATTTTCCACCTCTGGATCTTCCTAGCATACCCATCCCATCCTACAAAGCCTATACTACAAAATCTCCCTCTTTTTCCTTCCTGGATCCTCGTCCCAGGCCTGTTGTTTAAGCACACTTACCCTTCTCTAAATTCTTCACATTTTATTTATACTATTTAAAAGCACTTGTCACTTTGTATCCTATATTATAATAACTTATGGATCTGATATCTCCTAAGCTAGGTGTGAGTCTTGTTTATCTCTGTATTCTGCATCATAAAAGTGCCTTCTTGGAACATAGAAAGTACTCAAAACATAGATGCAGCAAATTAATAATTAAGTGTGTAAGTCATCTTTACCTTTCTAAATTAGGATTTAAACATACCTGGGAATTTTAGAAGATCCTATAATGGGTATTTCTTTACTATTTACTGTAGCTTTAGATTCACAAAGATGACAAAATTAGTCCTTAGACAAGAGACAATTTTGACCTGACTCTTGGGAAACTGTTCCTAGGGGACTAGGGGACCTAAATGGAGAGCATATGCTACTAGCACATACCTCCACCAAACAATGGTGGAAGGAGAGATCTGTCTGGAAGTCAATGTAGAACTGCCACAGTGGGGTGGGCAAAGGAATTGGAGCTTTAATAGTATACATATATCTTGTAAGGCTGTTGAAGGGACTGAACGCAAACACATGTAAAGTGCCTAGGACAGTACCTAGCACCTAATTCTTACATAACAAACATTATTTATTATTCATACAGAAACAGATACAAGTGGTGGGATGTAAGTGTCTAAGTCAAGGTGGGGTGTGGGACAGTGAGAAATCACTCACCATGAATTTCCTCTTTAGGAAACTGATGCTCCCTGCCCCCGATTTCACCAAGCCTCTGGTTAAAGCACCCTGTTTCTTTATAATTGTAGGTTTCATGCATGTGCCCACCGAGGCCAGACTCTACAGGGCTTGGCAGAAAATGGTAGGGTGTATTATCATCTCTCATGGCCACTGGTTATGTCCTTCATGAAAGAGATCAGCTTTACTCCCAGACAGCCTGGGTAAAAGGAAAGAGGAAAGAAGACAGCTTTCCCTAGATATTTTTTCTGCCTATGGTCAGCAACCCAAGAGGGCCAAGAGTCAGAAAATCATGCCCCTTGCAGGGTTAGCAAAGTCAAGTTTAGTGGCAAGCAAAGCAGGGAGATTAAAAGTATAATGTGAGATAAAACTGGGACCCAGGGAAATCCTAAAAATCACACCTCTCCCAATCACCTCCTGCTGAGCACATCCCAAAGATGAAAGCTATTCCTACTGCAAAGAAAAATATTACATCCACCAGAATGTAATCGGGAACAAGAAATCTTTAAATTCCTCTCACTCTAGCAGAGCAGTGCATTCCCCCTGAGTGGCTGATGTGAAGGTTGTGAAAAATTTTACATGCTTACCATATAATTAATATATAGATGAGGCAACTTAGGCACAGAATGATTAAGTGAATTGCTCAAGGACTCACAGTTAATCAATTGTGAAGCCAAGATTCAGAGTTAGGCAGTCCAGCTTTAGAGATGATCCCCTTAAACACTTCACTATCTTGCCTCTCAATTTAGAATGCACAGAAAGTATAGTTTAATCTCCTTGGTTGTATAAAAAAGAATAATAAAGTTCCCAAAGTGGACTACATAAATAGCAGAAGATCTGGTATATAGAACCCAAGGGGTTGTGGGGTCAGGGGAGGGCATTTATGGTGGAAGAGAAGAAATGTCTCCAAAAGCCAATAAAACACTCCAAAATTATGTACCCCTACATTAAAATAAGAAGTTTAAGAGTGAAAATCATGTGCTAACAATTGGAGATACTATTTAAAATATATAAGCAATTCATTTTTACTAAATGTCAAGTATAAGGTATTTATCCAATGACAATATAATACAAAAATTGGAGGATTTTTTTTTCACATTAGTAAACAGGTTTGATAAGAGATATGAAGTTGACTTTTATCTTAAAATATAAAAATTAATTACATGTTTTATGGTGTTTACAACCTTTGTAGAAGCAAAGTGCTCTTTAATTTTCAAGTTTCTCTTCCTGAAAAGGTTAGGTGAAAATATCATAGCATTTATCAAAAACAAGAAAAAAAAATGAGTAAGGTATTATATATTAGAATAGACAATGTAAACAAAAAAAGCCAATAAAAAATAATTTAGGTTATCTTGCATGTCTAGATAGGCTTTCAACTCATAATGAAAACTTTACGTGAGATCCTATTTATAAAAAATAAAGGCCTTAAAGACATCAGAGTGAATTCATGTGGTTATGAGAGATATTTAAGCCTGGAATTAAACTGAAACCTAAATTTGCTTTCCTTTACATCCTGCTTGGTTTTAGAAGTTAAGAAAAAATGCTCCAAACAGAAAAGCATGACGTTCTTTTGTACATTTAGGCTACAAAGCTTCTTAAGTATTGTTCTAAGAGACTACATCAAATTTTCCCAAACAGGCCTAAAGCCTCTTTCAGGGAAAACAAAAATCATTAGAAAATTATTACAATTGTGTATTAGCAGTGTTAATGCAACTTTTCTGACATTATACATTTACATTCATACAAATGGAACCAAAGTTTCATGAAACAATACTTACTCTTAGCATAGGCAATGTTCTCTGATAATTCTTCTATTTTCTTAAAAAAAAAAAAAATTCTGATGGCAACTTATACTGATTACTTGATTCATTAGTAGTTCTACAGTGGACCACAATTTAAAATCACTGTTTATACTTTAGTCTCATCAAGACATAAGTATAAGGCTATTTTCTCCAGAAGACAATCTATACTCCTAATTACAAACATGAAATGCTTATAAGTTTCTGTGAGAAATCTACCCCAAAACATTGCTTGTTATTTCAGTTGCCTTAAGAGAAAGAAAGAAGGAAGCGTGAAACAAGCCCGTCTCTGCTGAGGTAACAGAATCAGGAGTGGATGCTGCCACTGCTCATTAGTTTTGCCACAAGAGGGGTAATAAAAGGGGTCAGACAGACACCAACCCACTTTGAAGCAGTCCCCTAGTTGTACTCATAAAGTTTGGTGGGAGTTGCAGATTTAAATCCCTCTGTGTCCTCCCCAGAGAAAAATGGGAGTTCATAATTACTCAGACAGACAGGAAACAAATTCCCCCGTAGAGGGCTGAGGCCTGGTGGGCAAAAGCTGACAGTGGCTGGCACCGTCCTGTCCAAATACAGGCCTTCGCAGGCTGTCCCTCCCACTTCCCCTGCACTGTGTCCTCACACTTCCATCTCATGGCTTATTGCTGGAAGAAATCCGAAAAGCAAGCTAACAGTCTTTTAAGACACAAGAACTGGTTTCATCTTGTATTTTTTTCCAAGTAAAAGAAACACACGCCTACCCCACTCCTTTCTCCAAACAAAATCCTCGTTAAATCCCAATATATAAGACAGAGCTGTTGCTGCGCTGGAGAGGAGTACTGCAGACAGCCCTGCCCACTCCTCCTCCCTCCTTATCTGTCAGTCCCTCAGGCTCCTCCACGGAACCCTAGTCCTCTAGAAATGTAGGAATACAGTAATAGTTAAGCATATTTAATGATCCTCACTAAAGGCAATCAAACCATTGCCATATTTGTTTTCTAATCTTTGCTTGCTCACCAGCTCTCTAAATGCCACCCTAATACAGAACTCCCTAAAACTTCAGCAAGTGATGCTTCACCAAGAACCTACATAAAGCAACATTTCTGAAATTGTCACTCTACATTTGGCTCTTTTTCTTCTATTAAACTGATAGACTGTCAGAAACAGAACATCAGCCAAACCAGCTGGGTCCTTACTCCTCATTGCCTGTAGTACCTCTTGTTATTACAATGTACCAATAAATCCAGCCAACCAAACTCCTCTGATAGCCACTCCAACAGAAAGTATGATTCCAAGAAGATGACTGGACTATTACAGGATTTATGTTACCATAGAAGTATGACAACATGTTTCAATATAGCTGAAGCTTAATTATTTCTTCTTTTCTTTTAGCAAGCAATTTTGGAATTGCTTAGACTCACCCACTCTAGCATCACCTAGGGGAGAAGGGGCTGCTTTCCCATCCTATTTTACTGGTCTTGATAGGATAAGGCACAGACAAGGAATAAGACACATGAAGATGTAGTGCTGCTGTTACTACACTCACCCTGCAATGTGATGCTTCCTGTGACAAAGATAAAACAAACCATCTCTTTCTTTGAAGAGACTGACCTGTATGTTTATACACACGTGGGCTTTCTGAGAAACTGAAACCTTTAAAAAGGCTGAAATTAAATAATTTATTAAGCTGAACGGGGGAAAAAAAAACCTGTTTCTAGTAAAACAGAACTGAAGGGAACTAAAAGGGTACAGAAGTAGAGATTAATTCCTTACAAAAGTTATTTTGATGTAGCACACAATGATAATGATAGGCAGAAAAGTTCAGATTTTGATAGATCTATTAATATCATTGGGTCTTACACTGAAAAATGTAACTTTAAAGCTTCTTCCTATAAGGAAATTTATACTCCCCAAATAACATTATTTCAATTATTTAAAAAACCCAACTCTAGCTGTTCACCATTTTCTTTTTCATAATTAATACTTTGACATAACTTTCAACATGATGTCTGGTAATGAAGAAAAAATAGTACCTTTTCCAATTCTCTTGGTATTCGCAAACAAGTGTATACTCTTTCTCTTCTTTCTGTATACTTGGCCTCATTATGTTCAAGGAAGTACCCTCTTGTTAGTTCAGCACTGAGGAACCTCAACAATGAAAGTTCTACAGAAAAGAAAATGACAGAAAACAAAAAGAACAGTATTTATCAAGGAACTTCCATGCTAGCTGGGGCCATAGGTAATACACATATAAAACAAAGAGACCAAAATAAATGTTATCTATAATTCTATGTCTAGAACTGAACAACTACACACAACGATCAGCAAGTATTTTTGAGAAAAGTATTCTTCTGTGTGATATAAACCGAAAATGCCACAGGAATATCTAAGGGAATAATTACTAAGCGCTAGAATAGTCAAGAAAGTATTTTTCAAGAGCTCAGTCTTGGTTCTTACAGGTGATACAGTACCTGGACTGACAGAGATGGAGGAAAAATCAGTAGCTGTCAAGAATATATACAACACAGCAATATATAGAGTTGAAAGGGAGCCAAGTCACACAACGGGCACCACTTTAGTCCAAGAACCATCCTGGGTGAACTACATGTATACCAGTGCCCTAGCTCCTTTCTTAGTTTAGCCTCAGAAATCCTGCACAAACGTCTAAATAATGCCATTTTCCCACATGAAGACTTGCCAACATGACACTCACAATAGTTACACAAAGTGCAACCTCAACCAGATCAGAAAAACTTCCCCTTCCTTGGATCTTTCCATTCACCCATGTTTTTCCTCTGTTCCTCTAAAGCAAACTACTCCATAGTCATCTCATCTCAGATGAGGAAAACAAGGTCAAAGGAAATTATTTATATACTTTCCACTCACTACAACTGGAAGCTTAAGGTGAGAAGTGAAGGCTCTGGATGCTCGACCCCACCTCTTCTCAGTGCATTACACTTCCCTGACAGCCCATCCCCTCAATGACCCTCAGCACCCCTTACTTCATCTACACCTTCCTACGTTTACTCTGCAGGAAGTAAACTCTCTTCCAGAACGCAGGTTACCAAAAGGTTTCCAACTGTCCACTGTTCTCTTCGCTCTGAGCTGGCCTTATGTTCCTTTTTACCAAATGTGGTCTTAATGTTCCCTCCAAAAAATGACAAGGGAAGAAGGTTGATTTCATTTATGCAGATCTACTTAAGGAGTTGCACCTTCTAGGAGTACTATGATCTAAAGCCTACCTGTGAGGCGGAAAGAGTTTATAGTAAAAAAAAATCCTTGGCTGGGCGTGGTGGCTCATGCTTGTAATCTCAACACTTTGGGAGGCCGAGGCAGGAGGATCACAAGGTCAGGAGTTCAAGACCAGCCTGGTCAACATAGTGAAACCTGTCTCTACTAAAAGTACAAAAAAAAATTAGCTGGACGTGCTGGTGGGGCACCTGTAGTCCCAGCTACTTGGGAGGCTGAGGCAGGAGAATTGCTTGAACCCAGGAGGCGGAGGTTGCAGTAAGCCAAGATCACACCACTATACTCCAGCCTAGGTGACACAGCGGGACTGTATCTCAAAAAAAAAAAAAAAAATTATATATATATATATATATATCTCCATCCTTAAAAGCCCTTGGAAAGACTTAGAAGCCAACTTGACTATGGTTCTAAACAACAGGTCTACAACAGCTTACCTCGTCCAGCATTAAAACGGATCGCTAGTTCTTTGAGTATTATGTCAAGTGGCTTGCTTATGTTAGGGTTTATTCCATATATATGTGTACGTACACACATACACACACACACTTCTTTAAATACCAGATTCATAATCTTTTTGGGAGTCAGTGTTACCATGAAGAGTACATTTACAGTTGAAGTCATATGGGTTAATTGTACGCAATATGTGAACTGTATATATTAACGGATGTTTGGATTTAAAGGACTTAGTCTAACCAAATCCACATAGAGTAGAACTTCTGGTTAGGAACTTTCTAATATGTTCTACGCTGGCTAGAACCAGAACAAGATCTGCTCTTTTAAGGTGAGAAAAAGAAAGCCTTTTGAGTTGCAAACAAAAACAGCCAAGACTAATGAAAGATAAACAAATCATACTCAGTTCAGTCAGTTTTCCAATCAGGAAAAAGAGTATGTTTTGATTAGTATCTACAAATACCAGTTCTTTCATGTAAAAATCGAGAAGCAACAGGACTTTCAGAAAGCAGAGGAGATTCCACATACATAATTTTTCACTGACCTTAGTGAACTCTGAACTTTGAACTCCAGAGGCCACTTCACCACACTCTACGGACAGCAGCCAACCCTGCAGCTTCCCCGTCCCTCCGTGCCACCTAAATCTGATTCATTGGTGCTCCTCTCTCTTGAATGGCTAATTTTTTTCATCTAAGTCTCTTTGGCAGCCCTTCTTCCTCTACCTGATCCTTAAGTGTCTGCTGATTCAGTGCTCTATTCACTACAGTAAAAGGTCAGCCATCCTTTAATGGTAGCATTCTCCAATATGTCCTCATCATTCTTTCTGGTATTTATTCCCTATACCTACTTTGTTTCCTATACATGTTTTGTTTCCTTTAGATTTCTAACTAAAATTAAAACCATCATCAAAATCCTAAAGTCATCGCATCTACAGCTCTGGCTATTGTCATATTTCCAACAGCCTCCTCTACCTGGATATCCCATAGATACCGAAATCACCTGCAAAACGAAACCAGTATCTTGCTCACTGACTCTACACCTTTCCTGGAGTCCTGACTTTAGTCCCTGGCTTTACCCGTGACATAGTTGCTGCACTAGAAGCCCAGGGCCAATCTTGACAATCCCCTCTCTCTTCTTACCAAGGTCTACCAATTCTTCCTTTAAAACATTAACTTTTTCCCTTTTTCCTATACTCCACCCTAGTTTAGTCCTCCCCATCTCTCTCCAGGTTATTGCAAAAGCTTCTTGATTGAGTACCATTCTTCCCATCTTTCCTCCCTTCAATGCTAACTCCACCTGGCACCCAGTCAGCAGCTCACACAGATCAGATATGGTTTTGCTGAAACTCTTCAGTGATTCTTCATTACCTCCAGAATAAAGTCCTACCTCCTCAGTGTGGGCCATCCCAGATCCTCTATCACTGGTCACAGGCCATCTCTTCAGTCATGCTTCACACCTGCCTCCCCTGAATTTCTAGGTCACAGTTTTCTTTTTATACCACTTTTCATTTTTCCCAAACATGTCAATGGGTTCACACTGCTCGTTGGTCTGAGAATTCCCTACCAATTTTCCAGAAGTGAACATGCCCAGACGGTACCTTCTCTGTGAAGACTTCCCTAAGTTTCTCAGGCAGAGTCTGTCCTTTCCCCTACTTGGCTTCCACAGTACCTGCGCCTGCCTATGATTTTCTGCAGCATACTACATTCATTTTCTTATCTGGTTTTCTCATTCACCTTTGCATCACTGGGACCCAGCACATAACAGGTACTCAACAAATGTTTGCTAAAACAATATATGGGTCAGAGGAGAAGAAGAAAAATCACAGAGAACAAAAACAGAATCAGACAGTGAAAAGCTAAAAACGAAATGGAAAGGGAAGTGACTAAGAAAAGAAAGAATTACAGACATAAAATGGAGTGGCCAAATTAGTCTGTTTAAGGAGGCAGGCAGCAAAGAACAGAATTGACACAGAATTGAGGGAATAATGTGAATGGCAAACTGGGCTAAACTTTCATGTGGGTGATCTGTCCCTTCTGATATGATAATTTCTGGCATTTTCCCATTTTTCTTTACTGCTGAATTGCTTTATTGAAAGATGATCTATATGAATACAAAAGTGGAATTCATCAAAATGTTCAATAGTAATGGAATTGCTTAATAAATAACAATGTACCAATATAAAACAAAAATCAGAAGTGGCAAAAGAAAAGCACACCAGATGCTTGAGAAAAGAACTTGTGATTGTGACAGAATTGTTCGGAGACTCGGGGAGTCAGCAGGGAAGGAGTGAAAAGCTTCACTCAATGTGGCAGCTGCTGAGGATACAGGAGCCTCTACTCTGTCTGTGTAGCTAACAGACTGTAAAGGTAACCCAACGGGTACCTGAACCTCAATCCCCCTGAGGGAACAGGGTGCCATGATGCAGTCACAGTCAGTGAGTGCCCTGGGTTTGGGAATGAAGAGATCCTCACTGTCCACACTAAGTGCAAGGAAAGAAATTAGGCAGCCCACAAGAATGCCATCTGCATTAAAGAGATACAGAAACACATTACTGCACAATGATTTACAATTTTAAAAAGCAAATTAAATAAAAAGGTTTATTTGGGGCCGGGTGCAGTGGCTCACACCTGCGATCCCAGCACTCTGGGAGGCTGAGGTGGGAGGATCACCTGAGGTCAGGAATTTGAGACCAGCTTGTCCAAAATGGCAAAACCCCATCTCTACCAAAAATACGAAAAATTAGCCAAGTGTGGTGGCAGGGGCCTGTAATCCCAGCTACTTGGGAGGCTGAGGCAGGAGAATCGCTTGAACCCCAGAAGCAGAGGTTGCGGTGAGCCGAGATCATGCCACTGTACTCCAGCCTGGATGACAAGAGTGAAACTCCATCTCAAAAAAAAAAAAAAAGGTTTATTTGGAAAATTATTCTCCACAATGGTGTTTTCTCTGGTGACTGGGGATGACAGCTTTGACCATAATGAGAGTTGGGTTATGATCTACAGAAGAGCATGGGATTAGCAATCAGAGAAAGGGAGTCCTGGTACCAGCTGTCTTAAACATTAGTCCTGTGACCCTACTCCAGTGACAGATGTCAATTTCACCGAAGAGAAAATGGAAGCTTAGAGGAGTTTTTTTTTAATATCTGTCAACTGTTTTCCTTATCCACAGAATCATCAAAGGACTAAGAGAGTACTTGTATGAAAGTATATAAAAACTGCAAAGTATGATGCACTGTCTTCAACTACTTCCTATTAACTTCACAAGTACTGTAGTATTAATCAGTTCTGGTTTGGTGGTTATCTAATGTTTATTTCTGCAATCCTAGCTCTATCATTAAAAGGTAAAATGACAAATAAGTATATTTAACAACGTATACAACCTAAGTAAATTTTCTGTAAACAGGTTATCATACAACATAAATACCGAGTGTTTTAATTACAAGTACAAAACAATGCTGTGTCCGGATTC